TTTTGTGTCTTTTTCTTTTTACTTCCTCATTTATACTTTGGTAATTATTTTCCTACTGTACATCTTCTCAAAGCTTTCCAAATGGCTCATCATCTTCACATTTTTCTCCTTAAGTCAGACCTTCAGAAGCCCATCTGGAGCAAAGGCATAACTGAATTTTCAATGATCAACCTATGCATGGTGGAATATATAAGACACTGAATCAAAACACACATTTGTAGTTGTCTATATAACTTGTACTATGTCAAATATAAAGAGATTTAAAATAAATAAACCACATGGGTCTAGTTTCAGTACTCACATGGTGTCTCAGTTGCTCTTCTCTCGTTGCTGGGACAAATACCCGACACTCAAAGTGAAGGAAGGAGAAGTTTATTTAGCTCACAGTTCCTGGAGGTTTCAGTCCACACTCACCTGGCTCCAAGGCAGAGTGGCACAGGGCAGAGGGCAGCCCTCCATGGTGGCCGCAAAGAGCAGGGAGCGAAGGAGGAGCAGTCACAGCTCCAGCAGCTAGCTTCTCTTTCCTCCTCACATTGAAATGCAAATTACCTACTTCAGGGCAGGTGCAGCATCCACAGTAATCAATCACAAACTCCAGAAGCTGCCCCAAGATTGCATGAGGCTTTGGGGGGACACCTATATGCAAACCATAGCACAAAGCTTATGTACTAGAAGTAAAATCAAATGCTCTTCAGGAGTTACTTTAGATATACAAAGTCTACACAGAAAGATATAGTGTTATTGGAGTGTCTAGCACTTCTTGATAAAGTGACACATATGCTGAGACTTTGTCGGATTTAGGACATGACAGAATCGTTTTGTTATTTTTCACTTTTAAGAAACAAGACTAGAATATTTTCCAGGAGGGAAAAAAGACATATTTCCAATCAGTTTCCTAGAGCAATAACGAGTGACATGCCATCAGAGGTGAATGGCTTGTAACTATTTCTCAGTGAGCAACGACAGAAATAAAGATCCCAGACAGGTCTCAGAAATTGCTTCAAGGTCCTACTGTGCTCAGGAAGCCCTTATCAGACAACACGACGCCGTCTGATTTCCAATTCTCAATAATTAATTTCTCCTGAACCCAATAAATGGCATCTTTTCTTCATTTAATTTTTTTTCTTGGAGAGGGACTGTTACAGCTATGGAGAACAGAGATGTCTCTATTTAGTCTCTATTTAGGTGAAACGTTTTGCTTTTGAAGCCAACATTTAGCATGTATTCTGTGCCACGCACCGCGCTATTGACTCTCCTTTCTGACCTCACCTAACGCGTTCTGCATGAAATAGGCAGCGTCAACACCAGCACTCTGCTGTGCAGACAGGGAGCTCTGCGCGACCACGCATCTGGCCCAGTGTGAATCGGCTGAAATCAGACTCAGACGTGCAATACTGGAGAGTCTTATAAAAACATTATAACCCCATAGGGGCCGGCCAAGTAGCTCAGCAGATTAAAGCTCCTGCTTAGGCAGACTCAGCAGGCAGGGTTCGATCCCCGGCCTGCCAGGCTGGCCCCGCCCCCGGGCACACTGAGATGGCAGTGTAGACTGGGCGTGGTGGTGCGTGCCTGTAGTCCCTGCTCTGTGGGAGGCTGAACATAGGAGAATCACTACGAGTCCGATCTATGGAGTGAGACCCTGTAGACTCTTACTAAAATACAAGAAACGAAAACAAAAAAATAAATAAAAGCACTATAAGACTATAAAGAAAATGGAGTAGAAAATATCTTTTGAGATTTAATATTCCCAATAATATCAATAAAACTTTAATCACAAACCATTCACAGAGGGAAAATAACTCCTTGTGCATTGCGGATTGTAATTATTATTATAACATTCAGAGAATAATCCATTTGTAGGTTTAGTCTACATATTTTGAGTTCATAAGATTCACCTTATTATTCATTGCAAAAAGTATTTACTTTCAAGCCTCCTCATAAAATTAAAAATACACTCAAATAAAAAAGGGGGTGCAATGAACACTTCTTACCTTTTGTATATCAAAAGAAATCACCGTATGTTCCCTCTTTCAAACAAAAGGCTTGTGCAAAGTTTTACATCCTTAAAGAAACAAAGCTAGCCATTGCATTTGCTTTTCACTTTTTTTAATCTTCAATCAACTACCGTGCGATTTAGGCCTGGACTCTCATGCCAACTGCTCCTCAGGGTCATGCTGCACTTCTAAGAGCACCAATGTGTTCATCGGCTGGTAACTTAGTGAGTGATCAAGGGTCCAGAGATTGCGTCAGCATCTCAGTGCCATTGCTGTCCCCGGGGACCAGGTCCGAGGGCTCCAGCCTGCAGCCCACGCGTCCCTCTTCGCCCCCACCCTCCGGTCTTCGGAGAACAGGCGGCTCCCTGTTGGGATCGGCTGGCTCGGGAAACCACACACTGAAGCTGACCTCTGTCTGTGGACGGAATCTGAAGCTATCCAATTTGTCATGATTAAAGCAATATTTTAAAATGTCTGCCTTTGAAAAAATATTGTGTATATTTAGTGTACAAAATGATATTGCGAAATATGTACACACAGCAGAAAATCTAAGGGAAGTTAGATAACATATTTGTTACCTCGCGGACTTATCTCTCTTCTTTTTTCTTTCTAAGGTAATTCCATCTGGACCTAAGTCCTCCATAATGAGTGACACTCCTGGCACCTCTTGCAATTTACTTGAAGACAAGGTCTTACTAATTTTCATAGGCTGCGCTCACAGTTGAGATCCTGTTCCCTCGGTCTGCTGAGTTATAAGGATCGCCTGAGAACTTACCATTTTCTGTGCAAACAACATGTAAAGTATGTTCTCTTTGCAAGTCTCAAGAATCCAATACCTAAGGTTGACTCTGTTATGCAATAGACC